TACATATTCAAGACTCTCTGTGTATCTTTCATCTTTACGTGGCTTATTTTTCTTACTCTTATTACTTTTTCTATATGTTTAATATTTATTTCATTATCTTTACTCCTTTAATATATGGCTGTCTGTACTCTTTTATTTACAGTCTCTTTACTCTTTTTCTTATCTCTACCAAGTCTATGGACAGTTTTTAAACACACTGTGTCTCGTTTAGAGGTCTTTTATGTCTGAATCTGTCCTATTAGGTATCTGAAATCCTTATCTGTCCAAGAGCGCTTCTTAAAAGGCTGAGCTGTATTACTAGGACCAAAGCTGTTTTTCCTTTTGTTTCCACCTAGCCCAGCATGGCTGAGGTCCATTCAGTGCCTCTGAGAGCCATTCTCTCCACCCTAGATCTAGAGTCGGATTGCAGCAGGTCTGTGTTGTCATTAAGCAAGTTGTAACACTCTTCTCTAACCCCATTTAAATGCTCCATAGCCAGACCTTCTAAATAAGTTGGAGTTTCCACATTGTGCAAAGATTGAATAGCCAGTGAGACACTAGAACACACCGATTTCTGACTGCCTGGAGTTATAAACTTATGTTGTACACAAATCTTCTAATGAATATGGGAACTGGGGACCCTGACTATAGTACCCATGATTATCCCAAAGTATTTTACAAACTGAACCATTTCCTCTGCCCACATTCTGCAAAGTACCTATGAAGAAAATATCAATTAAACTTTGAGGTAAATAGCAGAGTACTCCAGCACCTACATGATATCTCACAATTGTTTATAACTTCAAATCCAGAACTCTGATGTCCTCCCCTCTCCCTCATATTTACACACATGTAGCACTACACACACACACACACAGACATTTACATACATATATATGCAAACACACACATGTATATGAAAAATACTCTTGCACATCAAATAAAATAAAAAAAACATACACCACAAAATGTATGGTTATAAGCTTGCTGACAGTGGTAAATTTATAAAACACTCACCGATGTTACTCAAAACACTACCTACTAGACCAGTTTGAGGTTAATGATCTAATGCATTAAATCTTGTTGTATCATTTTTCCTTCTTCAAATCTGACATTTTGTTTCTGTATTCTCAAGGATTCCACAGTCCTGTGTATATGGAATGGCAGAGGATGAGGTTGTGAGTGCTATGGAATACTTTGAACCTGGATGCTGTGGAGTACTTTGCCCACATATATATGAAAGTACCAGGTGTGTGCCCAATGTTCATGGAGGTCTGAAGAAGCCATCGGATGCCCTGCTATTTGCATAATGGAGGATTGTGAGACACCATATGAGTGCTGTGACCCAAACCTTTGATGTCTGCAAAAGCAACAAATGCTTTTAATTGCTGAGCCATCTTTCCAGCTCCATGATGTGTCTAATTTTTGTCAACATAGTCCTTCATTTCTCTGCTTTTCTTCCTACGTCCCTTTTGGTATTAGTTTTTGAATACTGTAAAGCTTGTTGTAAATTGTGAGCTAATGTTAAAAGAAAATTATTAAACATTAAATCCATAGAGGTATAGAGAACAAAGAAATATTGTAATGTTTTCAGTTCCCAGAATTAGAGATGATTCAGGGATGTTTTCTCTTTGTAAACATAGGACAACAGCTTCTACAGATACTGGGAAGCAATGTAAAGAAGTTGCTCAAAGACAGATGCTTGTTCTGTCCCAGCAGTAAGTTACTGCATCTAAGGGATTTGTGACCTACCAGTGGCTACCTATGAGAAACTGAAACTCTGTTTCAGTGATTGGTTGCAATCCAGCTGTTTGTTAATAGTGCAAATCTATATATAGAGTCAGAAGTTTGTTATGTACATGAGTTGGACCTTAATTCTTTGACAATGTCTTAAGCACATGAGTTCATGATGAGGGCATTCAAAATTTATGTAATGCAAATCACTTATATCAAGATTTAAAACTGAGCCATATGCTTGTGGAATGCAGAGGAGTCATTAATGCTCACTATGACAAAAGAGGGTCTACTCTTTTGAATGATGGTGGGCATATAAGTGTAGAAGGCATGCTAAGTAAAAACAAGGTAACCTATGGGGATTTATTTATTCATTGATTTGTTTGTTTTAACTTTCCCTATGCAGTTATATGTTTGGGTAATTATATTGCTATAAATTGAGTCAGTAAACAAAAAGAAATATCACTAAGGAAGAATCCTACTTATCAAGGTTTCAGAATGGTAGTTTGGCTTCCTAGTCTAAAAGTTTTAGGGCAGAGTTCTGTACTTCCCTGTGTTCTGGTTGTCTTCCTTTTGGATATTTAGTAAGTTTGTGGATGACTAACTCCAGGGAAAATAAAATTCAAGCTTGATTCCTATTTTGCTCTTCACTCCCTCTTCCTTATAACCCATCCCACTGCTCCAGAAATCTGGACTCCCTCTGTGATCCAATGCCCCAGAAGAGTAACATCCCCTCCAGATTTTCAAAGGTCTCTCTGCTGTTCACAGTGAAAACATTCCTGAAGGTTCTGATGGGAAGAAGTGTTTTTCAAAGGTGAAGTCACCACCTTTAGAAGCCAGTGTCATGCCTATCTCCTGTGACATCTTCTTGATCTTAGGGGAGACAGGGTCTCAGCATGTAAACATGTCACCCTGTATCTGTGTATATAGAGAGAGGCTGTCTGCCCCTCTGAACTTTGAGGTCCTACCAAACATCTGTGATCATAGAGGCATCTACTTTCATAGGTGAGTCTTATTTTCTTCTTTCAGTCTTGCAGAAGCAAGACAATCTGATGTCATCTGTGTAGGTACAGCTCTCTGAGCTTGTCTCTCTCTTTCAGGGAAAGAATATTGAACTGTACGAATACTCACCGATCTATGGATCATCTGAGTCCTTAGCACTCCATGAGTAGAGAGAATGTGCTAAAGAATCACTGGGTACTTAATCTCCTCTCTCTCAAAGTCTTTGGCAAGGGAGATTTTTCTGTAAGATCCCTAATCCTAAGAGGCGGGTGGGGTTTTTGCCTCTAAAATGATTTATCAAAATATTCAAGGGATACATACAGTCCTCCCCCTACAAAAACTTTTCTTTCTACAAATACAATGCCTACTCAGTGAAATACAATGCCTTGTATAATCACACATGCTTGAGAACATAACCTAAAAATATGAGGTACCTTGATTTCCTTGCATTCTGCCTCTTTGACTCATACTCACAAAAACAGCTGACAGATTTCTTTTGGAAATACTGGTGTCAGTGGGCACAGAGACAAAAGTCTATTTTACCTTTATGTTGTGAATTAAATGCACATGTTATTTATGTGCATTTGAATGTGGAAAAAATTAGATACCTATGTTCTAAACTTCACCCCATTCTAATGAGGTTTCTTTGACTTGCAAATTTTGTCATCATTTAGTCAGGGCTGAATATTCATATTTCTACTTCTGTGATTTCTATCATACAGGACAGTCCTTGATCTTCAGATTTTCCTTTTCACCAATGCATTCATATATCACTTATGTTTTCCAATCTCAAAGAAAATATTGCATGCTGTACATATAGGTATGTATAAAATTTCATTTCGTATATGCTTAGAGAACTGTGTTAGAAAAGAGACTATACTCTGGTTGTAAATGAGAGTGTAATTTAGTAAAGGGTGAAAGTTCTCATGGTTATCATCCAAAAATTATATCAACCTTCACAATTATTGAGTTGAATATTTATATAAAATTGATCTGTTTCATGTGTGATTAGCATTGTGACATTTTGATATTTACATTTGTTACATGATATATGGCTGTAGCATACATTAGGAATTAATGGCATATTTAAAAAATATGCAGAAGTTTGCAGAATAGAGCCAGAATGACAGTGTGACATTAATTTAAAATCAGATTCAGAACCCCCAAAGTGAATAATGTTGCTCCAAGCAAATAAACAGAAATTATTTTCTTTCCAAAGTGCTATTGTCTGTGGCACATCTGCCGTTTGCCAGTATTAGAACCGAGGGAATCTGTAGTGTGATAAAACTCATCCGCTGACAGTCTGTGTCATCATTAAAACCGCTGTAGAAGGTTGCTGTGAGAGGGAAATGACACATCATCTGTGGAGCCCTGTGGGAAGTTGAAACAGCCAGCAAGCACAGTACGAACTTTGTCTTTAAATGCATTCCTGTGACTGCTGTCTGGTAGAAACAACTGTGAATAGTTTGAAAACATGTCTTCGTTTTTGTAATGTGCATTGGTGTTTTACCTGTATGTCTGTGTGAGTGTGTGGGAACGCTTAGAACTAGAGCTATGACACTTTTGAGCTTCCTTGTCGGGGCTGAGTTTGAACACAGTTCCTGTTGAAGAGCAGCCAGCACTCTTAGCCGCTCCAGGCTCTGAATCCTTTTATTCAAAAGCACATCTTGGGAGCTGTCAAGGAGGCTCTGTGGGTTAAGAAAGCCCTGCTCTTACTGATGACTCGAGTTCAGTCCCAGCATCCATACCTGGCAGCTCAGTGCTGATTGGCTCCAAAGGTACTGGCACTGAAGTGAATATTCCCACACAGAGACTCAAGCACTTCCACACAGTAAAAAAATTTTTTTTATTATTTTTTAAATTTATTTATTTATTAAGGATTTCTGCCTCGTCCCCACAACCGCTTCCCATTTCCCTCCCCCTCCCCCGATCAAGTCCCCCCCCCTCATCTGCTCGAAGAGCAATCAGGGTTCCCTGACCTGTGGGAAGCCCAAGGACTGCCCACCTCTATCCAGGTCTCGTAAGGTGAGCATTCAAACTGCCTAGGCTCCCACAAAGCCAGTACGTGCAGTAGGATCAAAAACCCACTGCAATTGTTCTTGAATTCTCAGTATTCCTCAGTAAAAAATTTTTTAAAACTCTCAAGCATTTTATCTTAATATCTGGATGGAAAGCATTGATTATTGGTTAGCATAGATTTTATATACAATGAAGAAAATAGTCCTACGTGTCTACCCTGATTTGTGAGGATCAGCTACAGATTGACATTCCTATAAGACAACAGAATGGCATCCAGAGACAAGGCTGTGGGGATATTCTTTCTGTCCCAGACTATACTGGGCATTCTGGGGAACTTAGCTTTGCTTTGCTGTCGTAGTCTCTCTAACTTAAGTGGGAACAAGGCAAGGCCCATAGATCTGATTATCAAACACCTGAGCTGGGCTAACATCTTGGTGCTTCTCTCCAAAGGAATCCCTCAGACAATGGCTGCTTTTGATAGGACATATTCTTTAGACAACAGTTTGTGTAAACTTGTATTTTACTTTCATAGAGTTGCCAGGGGAGTATCTCTTGGTGCAACATCCCTGTTGAGTGTCTTTCAGGCTATCACCATCAGCCCCATCAATTCCAAGTGGGCACAGCTCAAGTCAAGAGTTCCCCGCATCATTGGTCCTTCCCTGGGCCTGTGCTGGACCCTGTATCTTCTTATAAATAGCTTCCTTATCACGACAGTGACTAATAAGAATGATAATGGAAATCTTACTAACTTTAGACAATTTCTGTACTGTGTAGTAGTAAAATTTTCCAAGCAATCTTATTTACCATATGCTATCATATTGGCCTCCAATGATGTTATCTGTTTGGGACTCATGATGTGGGCCAGTGGCTCTATGGTGTTGATTTTGTTCCAGCATAAACAGAGTGTCAAGCATATCCACAGATCCCTGTCTACTAAATCATCTCCTGAGAAGAAAGCCACACAAAGAGTTCTTATCCTAGTGAGCAGTTTTGTGGTCCTTTATGTAGCCTCTGTGACCTTAATGATGTATTTTTCTTTCCAGGATGGAACAGATACATGGGTGGTCAATGCCAATGTGGCTATGAGTGCATGTTTCCCTGCACTCTGCCCCTTTCTTCTCATCAGACACTACACCAGGGATCTTCATCCCTGCAGTACTTGAGTATATCAACAGCCAATTTCTCTTGTGTAGTCAGAGCACTCTATTACATAGAATTGTGTACATTATTTGATATTCGGTATGATCTCTTGACATCAATCACTTAAATTCTCTGGAACACAGTGTTGTATTGGTTGCTGTCTACCCTTTTAATTTAGAACATTATAGCACTAGGTTAATATTTGTGGTGTAAAGGTTGATGTGGTTATTGTGACAGTTGATAAAGCTCTGACTATCATTCACTGATCTGCTATATAAACAAAATTTATCAAGGCTTGTTTGTAGATAGACCATCATACTATAGGAAGTATAGAGTCCCAACTGATTCTGAGAAAATGAACAGTTTGGTATGACTGAAGAATCCAAAAATGCAATATAGACATAAAAAATCCTGAAATACAGAAATAAGAGAATGTATGTCCAAACACATTTTGAAAAATAATGATAAAACTGATGGCCACTGTTGACATTTAACAAACACTTTCTGCCTCAAGAGAAAATGCACATGGGCAAACTTTTAACAATTGTCTTCTGCCTCCCACTTTCCCAGCTAGCCTTGTATTGCAGACAAAGGTTAGCTTCTAACCATTGCCCCAATGGGACCCTCTGCACTGTATTCCCCTACTTTTTAACTGTCCCCCTACATGATTCTACTCTGATGGAGGAAGGTCATTGGTTAAGTAATAAAGAAACTGCTCGGCCTCATAGGTTAAAACATAGGTGCGAGGAGTAAACAGAACAGAATGCTGGGAGGAAGAGGAAGTGAGCTCAGAGACGCCATGCTCCCCTCTCCTGGGCAGACGCGATAGCTCTGCTCTCTGAAGCAGACACGATGGAGCAAGCCACCAGGTCATACATGCTGAATCCTTCCCGGTAATACCGGTGTTACACAGTTTATTAGAGATGGGTTGATCAGGATATCAGAATTAGCCAGTAAGGGCTGGAGCTAATGGGCCAAGCAGTGTTTAAATGAATACAATTTGTGTGTTGTTATTTCGGGGCATAAGCTAGCCAGGCGGCCAGGATGCTGGAGATGCAGCCCCTCCGCTCCTAATACTACACTACTCTCTTCCTTTTAGTCTTTCAGGAACAGTGAAAAGTGCCTTTATCAGCCACAGGCTTTTATAAATATCCTAAGTCAACACACTGTCATTTTATAACCCAAAGCTTTAAAAGTTAAAATGTAATGTGACTTTAAGTCTGACCTCAAGGTTGTGAAATTTCTTTAATGCATACCTGGTGCTTGGTTTTACTATAAGAACAGCCCCCAAACCAATCCCCATTGCCCCAGTTTTAGAAGCCTGATCTCTGGCTGTAGTCTCAGCTATACTTGCTTAGCTTTGTGTGACCCATTGTGATTCTTTTCTTTTTCTTTTTCTGGAATAAAGTTTGCTTCTGGTTTAATAGACTTTGGTGGTCTGTCCCACATCAATGCATGAGCCTGGACCCAACATTTTTGGTGCTGGAGTCTAGGACTTTGCACACTTCTGGTTCTGGGTGGAGGGCACTCCAGTCTCACACAACCTTTATTCTACTGGTTTTGGCCAAATGGTATGCTTTCTTTGGTTTCTTGTGTCCAGAAAGAGAAAGGCTCAATAAGAGTAAGTGGATGCACCAAAGATCTCTGAGCCAGAGGGGACATAGGATTCTTTGACCTCTCTTCTAGTCACTGCATTGCTCTTCTGTGGACCTTTGCAACTGGTTTGGGATTCCTGTTTCCCTGTGCACTGCACTCTTCCTTCTGTATGTATTGTCAATTCTGTTTAATTGCCATGTATTGTTAAGTCTCTTTGTGTTTATTGTTAGTAAATTAATGTCTACCCTGGGCTATGGTTCTTCTGAGCCTCAAGCCCTTTGGGTCTTATTCTCTTACTTCCTGGATTTCAGGAAGGCAGCAGTAGTTTTTGCAGTCCTCCTTGCCCCTCTCCACCTCAGGAGACCAGACTCCTCAAGGCAATCAAGAGGGCTCTAGTCTATGGGAACAGGAATGGCAACCAGGAAGGGGACTGCCCCTCCCCTTCAGTAACTGCAATCTTTTGCTTGAATGCCAACCATGAGTCTGGCAGAGGAGGGCAGAGGTGAGCAGAGACAACTGCGAGGACAGTCACCTAGGATGGCCACTGATATCCATTTCTCCAGGACAATAACGTTTCAGATCTCACAAAATGACACTTGCTCCAAAGTTGCACAGCAAGAAGCAACAGCCCCATCAAGAAGCACAGTCTTCTGCCCCCCTCCTGCCTAAATATTCAGCTGGAGAAAGTAAGACAATTTTGTCTGATTTTTCTTCTGTAATTTCTGTAGGGCTGGATTGTGGGTAGGTATTGTTTAACTCTGATTTTTAGTGTCTGCAGTGCTTTGTAAATTCTTGTTATTAGTTCTTTTACTGAACCCTTATTAATAAAGAATTTCTCTCATTCTAGAATCTGTCAGTGTACTCTGCTTATAGTTTGCTGTCCTCTCTAGAAACTTTTTTTAAAATTTCATTTAGTATCATCTATTGGTATCTGGGCCTAGGTCAATTTTCTGTATTATTTAAGTTATATTCTAAAAGTCAAAGTATACACCCAAAATCTTTAACAATATTTTCTGTTCTTTCATTTAATAGTTTCAGTTTCATTTATTTTTTAAAATTAAGTAATTATCCTTTTCAGAAAGTACCTCACTAGGTAACCATAGCTGCCTTGAAACTCTCTATGGAGACCAGGCTGGCCTGGAAATTACAGAGATTTAGATGATCCTACCTACCGTGTGCTGGTATTGAAGATGTATGCTATAATATCCACTTTCATTTCAGTTTTTAAATTAAGGTGTTTGATACATTTTTAAGAGAAAGCAATAGAAATTAGAGAAGAGAAGACAAAGATATAAAATTGTTAAAGTAGGCAAGAAAAAAGTCTAAGCATCCTTATTTTTGGATTGCATGTTTCTGTTTGTAATAGAATCTATAATTCACTTTGAATTGCTTAGTTCTAATATATACAGAAAAATTACCAGAGGTAAAATCAATATAAAAACCTAAAGTGTACTGTCAGTGGAAGAAATTATAAGAATATATCATTTTTTGTAGCTCTTAAAAAATGAGTACCTAAGAATACCCTTAAACAAAAGAAAAAAAAAACCTTCCATTTTCAAAAGTTCTATAAAGTTAAAAACACTATAAAATTAAAGAAATATTAGATGATGATTTTTTTTGTTTTTTTGAGACAGGGTTTCTCTGTAGCTTTGGAACCTGTCCTGGAACTCACTCTGTAGAACAGGCTGGCCTCGAACTCACAGAGATCTGCCTGCCTTTGTCTCCCAAATGCTGGGATTAAAGCTGTGCATCACCACTGCCCGCCTAGATAATGAAAATTTAATGATTTCGGTTTGGCAGGATTAATATGGTGAAGGTCATGTATTATCAAAATTAAACAACATCCCCTAGGAACTCAAAGGCCATTATAGCCAGGGAAGCAGGCAGGCTGTTTGCAGATCTTCACTTTTTTCTCTAATCCTCCAAATCCAATTAGCCAGACCTATTCTTACCTCTTCTGCAAACCACCTGCCTCGTCCTTACTTCTCCCTTGTTCCCATCTCCTTCCATTGTCTCACAGAGATCAGCTCCTAAATTCCCTTCCCCCAACCCATTGCTCTATTCAAGGCCTCAACTTCAGCAGGCCTTCCCTGGGTACCCACAGGCCACTGGAGCCAACTCTAAAGCAGAACACATACTGCTGCCTCTTCTTACCACCTTCCCGCATTCTCAGGATATTAAATAGATCTTGGTAAAGATCACCATGCTTTCTCCATGTACAACCTCCTCTGACCCTCCTCTCCTCCTCTGTCTTAGGCAATCACCATCCCTAAATGTGAAATCTCAATACCATGAAAGATATTTTACCTTGTCTCCACAGTGGACACAGAGATCAATACTACAGAAGAATTTTCCTATAGGGAAAAAAACAGGCACCATACTCTCCTAAGAAACATAGAGGAAATAGAGACCGAGGAACAAAAAAAAAAAAAAAAAAAAAAAAAAAACAAAAAAAAAAAAACCTTCCTAACAAAGACAAGACCACATACCCACACTTAGAATCATAATTTCCTAAACCCAGTTGCTGAAATGCCAGTGGAAATCATGATCAATATTTGCCAAAACAAAATGTCTACGTGAGAGCATAATAAAACTTCTGTAGTTGGCCGTTAATATTTCAACATAGAAAATGGACAGGGACAAGATCTTAAAATAGCCTTTATGAAAAAAATAGTGCTTTTTATGAGGGAATTAATAAATCTCATGAAGAAATCTATGAAAATACATTGGAAAAAAGTAAATAAAGTAATTTACAACCTAACAATGGAAATGAAATCAATAAAGAACACCCAAACTGAGAGACATCTGGAAATAAAAAATTTAGAAAGCAAAACAGGAAACTCAGAAGCAGCATCACCAACAGAACAAAATATATGTTAGAAATAATGCAATATATTGAGCACAGCATAGACGAAGCAAACCTGCTTGTCAAAGAAACTGCTATTTCTTTAAAAATAGTCTGGCATAAAAACATCAAGGACATTTTTAACAATATGAAAAGATAAAATCTAAAAATAATAAAAATAGATGAAGAAGAAAAAGTAAGTGTCAAAGGCACAGAAAGTATGTTCAGCAAAATCCTAGAAGAAAATTTCTGACCAGAAGATCCATCGGAGGGGTGAGTGTGTTGCTGACCGGCTGTCAGAAGCCCCAGAAAGGGATCACAGACATTCTCCAACCCTCTAAATTTTCTGGTCATTCTGCAGGGGCTCTCTCCCTGGCTACTGCCTTTCTCTCCTATCCCATCCAAGTTGTGCCCAGGCACCCCTTTGTTGAAAGGAGCAGCTGGCTGCATTCCTGCCACCCGGCTCCCAGCTGCCTGGCTAGCTGATGCCCCCAAATATGCCCCAGATTCATTTCACCAGCACAAGATGGACCAGATATCTATTGTGGCTCCAGAAATACACATTTTTATCATTAACGAGCA